CCGAGCTTCCCAATGCCGAGCTCCTAGAGACGCCGAGCACCGGGAGCCGCCATGCCGAGCATTCTCACGCCGGGCACCGCCATGCCGAGCCGAACACTCCCGTGCCAATGTCGAGCACTTCCCTACCGAGCACTCCCACATTTTGACTTTGAATTTTCTTTTGCTTTATTCATGCACCTAGGCCCCCACATGTGCACCCTATCACCATCACATGACTTCACATCATCTTATTGTTAGAGTAGTATACCCGACGTTCCAATCTGATTGGACGTATTCTACTTGTAAATACAATCTATTAGAATTATATTGAATAAAAGACATTACTTTATTTTAATAGTAAGCATTTATCATATATTTGCACTTAAGATAAAGTCCCTAGATCATTTATAGCTATAAGATATGGTTGAGAATAGAGATGGTGATCATGGAACATATCTTGAAAGATGTGATCTTAAATACAGTTCTAAGTCGTTGGATGTTTCGAGATGGGATATCGAATAATCCAGAAAAGACTTGCACATAGTATGTATGCTTGTTGGACAAAAATGTTGCATTCCATCAACATTAGCGTGTGACGCAAATACATATATGTGGGTGCTTGTTAGAGAACAAGTTCACTGAACATGACCGTATGAAAATTCTTAATGAAAGATTTTTCTTGTCGAATAAAGAATTTTCATGTTACAATAGTACATGACTAATCCTTAGACTTGAGGCACAATGGTAACTTTGTGCATATTATATTTTACTTTGATTTATCCTTTTGATTGCTAGCACAATCGTATAAAGGGATATTTTGGGTATTATATTAATATGTATGGAAGTTTGTTAGTGGCCAATAAAGGATTCGACACTTATGAAGATAAGTGAATTTCCTATGTGTTTCATAGTTAGTAATTCAAAGTCCTTAGCCAAGGCGGCATGAATAGAGATTCATAAACGAATTACTAAACTTGAAATGGAATCATAGTTATTAAATCAATTTGGGTTTCGACAAAATCATACCCAAAGATTTAATCGGGAAATTGGATGTCGAAAGGATTTTACATGTACGTACTTGTAATCGAAATAGGTTTACTCGCTATTCACTTAATACTAGATTCATGCTACTTGCTAGGTGTTCCCATGATATGTGGGTTCTTGAATTAAAGAGTTAATTCATGAATAAGAGTTAATAAGATTAACTCAAATTACAAAGAGTTGTAAACCCATTACTAGTATTAATAGTGGACCTAAAAGGTCACACCAATTTTTGAATGAAGGTAAAATTCAAATAGTAATTTTAAAGAGTTAGAAATAATTGACTAATCTAATTTGATTAGATGTCAATTAAAGGAATATATTAAATTAATCAATTGGATTGATTAATTGAATTTTGGATATTAATTTAGTAATTAATGGAATTACTAATTAATAGTTGGAATTTAAAATTGGATTTAAATTTCAAATCCAAATAATAATATGATTATTAAATAAGGAAATTGGAAGAAATGATTAAAATAATAAAGTCTTGAAAAATGTTTTCAAGAATTATTATTTTATCATTTTATTATTGTATCTTTAATATAATTAAAGATTAAAATAATTAAGGAGACAAAATAATGGTGGTTGATGGTGGTTAAGAATCACTCCACATTATTAATTAAAAGTCAATATTTGGTATAGATTTTTTAAATAAAATCTGATTTTATTTAAAAATAATTAATTATCAAATATTGATTATTTTATGCTAAAATG